ATCGTTTAGCGTAGCATAATCTATCCGAATTATTAAAGTATATTCACATCTTCCCTTTTGAAATCACAAAATGAGCACTTGCCTTTTCTAACCTTGCTCCCGATAGTAAATTTCTTCTTAGATTTGGATTATATAACACATTATCTAACTCAATCCAATTTATTCGATTGCCTACTTTTACTGCAAATTTGACGGTACCCTTTCCTAGTACTTTACTTTCACAATTTCCTACAGCTACAGACATACGTATATCGTTTATTTCTTCAAAACTTTGTCATTAAATTTCTGTTATTACAGAAATGAGTTGTAGCTGCAGTATGTACGGACCGAATTAAATTTATCTGTGTGTTACCTCCTTTATCTGTAGTTGTTACATAATTTTCTACTAACATTAATTCTTTATCTTTAAACTGCCCTATTTTTATCGTCTATTTTAAACTTCTGATTTTGACTTACATTTTCTTTACATTGAGCGATTAAGTGTCCAAATTTATGACATCTGAAACAAGGTCATATTCTCATATTCCCCATTTTTTTCTTAGATTTAGTTTTATTTTCAACTCTATCTTTCCCTGCATATGAACTAATAGTATTAAACACGCTTACCTTGCTGTCTTCTAAATCGGCATTTACCTGGCAAAGTCGGCTTTCTTCTCATACCAGTTCTTCAGCAATTATTTCCAATGTAAAATCTTCGTCCTTCCACCTATAGATCAACTGTACAATGCAGGAATATTCCTGGAGTAATCTCCTTATTGCCTGAAATCCTTTAAAAAGATCTGCCAAGTTGTGTCCAGCTTCAGCCAACTTCTTTGCAGTCATTCTTATCCTCGTGATAAATAATCCTAATTCTTCATTTGGGGTATATCTAATGCTAAAAAATTCATCCAGTAACTGAACTATCCTTGCTCTAGTTTTGGGTTTGCATTGCTTCTGTCGAACTTCCCATGCTTTTTTACCACTTGAGCATTCTTGTATCAGCAGCCTGAACTCAGTTTTGATTCCATAATACAGTCAAAAGTCGTTAATCCGGACTCGTCGGGACTTCGGCGATTCCGGATTATCGATTTTTCCGGATTATAGATCATCAGTTTAAATCTCGTAAGATGGCATGCAGAAATTCTAAAATTAAAAGTATGAAACCGTAATTTATGAAATAAAGAACAATTATGATCTAAAGGGTATCAAAATTTGCAAAAAGAAAAAGCTTAATATTTGTTTACTTTATTAAACATTTTTTCAATGTAAGTTGTTTAAGTTTTGCTTCGTTTCATGTGATAATACTTTCTCTTTAATTCTATTAAACAGACATAATTTCTTGTTACAAAGTTCCGCTGTTCAAGTCCTATAATTGCTGTGTCGAGAATACTGACTAATTTGTCAATCGAAATTTTTTCGTTTTCAATAACCTCTGTCACTTTCTTCGCTATCGGAAGCGAATTATAATGACGAGGAACTTGTTTTAAATGATGACATGAAATACTACATTTGACAAGGAATTATAAGCCAAATAAAATAAAAACATCTGCCCTGAAGATAAGGATAGTGCTGACAGATCAACTTCCAATTCATTACGCGCCCGCCGCGCCGTTCCCCCCTGCTGAGCAGCGTGAAATTGATAAACAGATTTCGGATTTCAAAACATACTTTCGCTTTAGATCCTTTACATATTAACAAATATATATCGGAAATTCTATTTGATATAATCGAAAGTTTAAACTTACTTTTATAAAATTGCTCTTACAGTCTGCAAAAAATAATAAGCCGGATCCAATTCGAAAATTAAGGAACAACGCAATCATCAACATTAACTGAAATAGATAATTATTTAGCTTATACGTCCATTATACATAAAAAGCGCACGCGAAAACGTATTCTGCACTTACGCACACTCATATGTGCAGTCGTAAAAGGTCTTACGCGCACGCGTAAATGCCTATGCGCATGTGTCAACGTGGCGCATGCGCAGAACGTTTTTAGTTTTGAGGTCCGGATTATAGATCATTCCGAATTATGGGTGTCCGAATTAACGACTTTTGACTGTATAACGTAGTGAAGGCTCTATTCTCTCTCAATGTGAATTCCTGCTTTTCACGCCTTTTGCACTTTTATCTAATTCTTTTTCTTTGTCCTCTATGAAGCTCCAACAATTTCTATCCGGTAACAGCATTTTCATATCGACTTTCCATCGATCCCAGTTGTCATGGTTTAACAGCTCAAAATCTTCAGAAAGTAATGACATCTTCAAATAAGTGTGAGCACAACAACTTGAACAAACTTCTAAGACAGGTCAGCTCCTTTTCATGGATAATGGCTCTCTTCACCTACATTCCTTCAATGCTGAGTTGAACTGGGTAACAGGTTAGCTGTTGGCGCTGGGCCCATAACCCTGTTGGTAGTGGCATTAAAGACAAAGCATATTTTGCTTCCCTTAAATAAAGCTAAGACGAATCTAAATAAAGTTCATGCTTTATTCCGTAAATTAAAATAAGTTAACACTGTAGCCTTTACATTTAAAATCATTTGATTGAAAGAAAACTAGCATTATGCTAACTCATAATAAGACACATTCGCCGATACCGGCATACATATAATACTCGGCCAACCCGTCGATCTTGACGTCATCGGCCAATCAGCGGCAACCGCATTAGCTTACCGCCGATTGACCTCCGATCAAAATTTGCATAAGGAAAACTAAAGCCAACACTTTTTCTAATTACTGCGTGTCCTTCAACGCTTGGCGCAGTGCCAGCTTAAAGTCCGATTATGAAATACACATTGATAGGTCTCGATATACCACATGATCAGTGGAGGGTTGTTCTCTTTATGGATGAGTCCAGGTTTACCCTCCAGAGCGATAGTAGGTATTATTTGATTTGAAGAGGACATGGAACCCATTATCATTCATCAAACATTTGTGAAAGAGATGAGTACAGCGGATGTGGTGTCTGTGTTTGGGGTTGTATTTCTTTGGGTGGATGCATGGCGGCCTGCACACATCTGAGGAGACTTTCAACTTACATGTGCAACAGTTAATCAGTTTTTCATCTTACTTATCACATTTAATAATTCTGGTTTCGATCTCTTTAATTATTTCATTATCGATCTCATTACTTTGAATTTCGGAATGCTTTTTTTTTATCATTTAATTTCCAAATTTTTTTTCTTCTATTTTATTTTTTGAGATTTTAATTTGAATTTTAGAAAGTCATCTTCTTGTAAGAGATCTTGATAGCAGTTCATTAAGCCTTGGCTATTTCCATTCCAGAATCAATTTTAATAAATCTCTCAAATTAACTTGATATCCTCATTTAACAAACTTTCTCTTCTGATTATATGTACATTAAGAAGAAGAGTTAGGCATAACTTGCAATACAAAATTCATTTCTTAGCTATTAAGAATAAAGTAATTCTATTATAATCATTTATTCCACATCATGAAAACAAGACAGCTATTATTTCATAGTAATGTATGAAATATTGAAGTCGTTATATAACAAGTTCACCGTATGTCTAATTAGAACACCGGACTTGGAACAACATCAAACTCTGTCATGCACGTGTAAACATAAGGTGACAATAGCACAAAAATCTTTCCCAGCAGATATCACCAAATATGTCAAATCTAAGGAAGGACAACATATCTACAAAAAATAATCGTTCATTTCAAAGCTGGAAAAATGATCGGTGGTTCACATGACTTCCCTTATCAATGCCACATCGTAAACTAACAAGATTCTCAGTATGCAGAAGAAAAGTGTTCTTTAATCCCATAACAGATTAACTTTTGGGAATTTTCTCAGTAATTCTTAAAGCAGTACAATCAGATGGTCAAAGTAAAATAAGTTTAGTGCTGAACCAAATTTAGGGGGAAATACTAAATTTCTTGTATAGTACCTTTACAAACCTTATTTCCTATTATTTTGATTACTTTGCTTACTCTAGAAGAAAAATAGTTCTTTCCATGACCTTGAATATTTTATTTTGCTCATTGATAGCTTAAAAATGGATCAGATTTCACAATCTCATAATTTTATAGAGTTAGAAAACCAGAGATTCTATATTGCTGTGAAAATGTAGTTAAATCAGACACCACTCTGATATTCTGCATAGTCTCTAGTATACCTGAAATTCTGAGAATAAATATCAGTCACTGAATGTCATATCAGTCATACGATCAGCCCACAAGCAGGCGAGCGGTAAAGTCGCTGAACACTGATAGTTTGGTCCGAGGATCGAATCCCGCGAACGGGCTGGCTGCATGGGTGTTTTCGTGGTTTTCCCCATGTGTAATGTGTATACGAGCCAGTTTCCCTTAGAAAGTCCTCCATGAAAGCATCCCTTCCCTTAGGCAGATAGCCCTAGTGTTCTTTGCCATAATTAAATAAGCCAAACTAGTCATACCATTAGCCACTGGATGAAGATGGGGATTATGTTTCATGTACATAAATTGTACCCAAATTTTGATAACCATAAGAAGGGAACTTTTAAGATACTAACTACAGTGTGAACATGTGGGTGACTTGCTGACTTTTAATAAGTATTTGCATTAATACTGTAATACTGTATTTTCTATGTAGAAGCTTTAATGTAAAATATTATTTTCTTCATCCCCCCCAGAAGAGTTTAAGAAAGCTTGATTGTAACTTTTTTTTAAAGATCAAATCATTATTGTTTTTATATGTTGTGACAGGGCCCCTAAAGATGTGGGACCAGTACCTACTCTGCCAATCCAGTACAGTATGTAACGTACTTATTCTAAAATAGAATAAGTAAGGAATTGAAAATTCAAATATTTAAAACAAAAGTATAAAAATTTGTTTTGAAATAATTATGTAGTTACTTAAAGCTAATGTAAAAAATTTTAATCCATAGAATTTCTGATAATAAATTGTTAGGTATGCAGTTTTCTTTAAATTAGAAAAATATGAAATATTCAATTAAAATGCTCATATGTATTCTATTTACCAAATTTTTAAATTATCAGTTTTATTTTCTAGTTGGTGATGATAGAGCTAGTGTAAGTTCGGGTGTGGCTGATCATGAATCATCACATGATAGTTCTGTGGTGGATGCCGAGGCAGAAGATATACGGTTACAAGCAATGGAAAGTGATGAGAGCTTTTGATTTCATATAGACTCTTACTGTTATATACCGAATGTTATCTTTTATCGGATTCCTATGGTCCCTGTACTTGTGCACCTGGTTATGTGAAATAGATCTGACTCATTTTTTTCTTTCCTCGTGTTTGATTACTTGGCAACATTGTTACTGATCATCAAATTTTCCAGTGTATTCAGTATTCATTTTTAGCATTTACTTAAGTAATATTTTCATATAAATAAGTTGATAGAAAAATGAGTTGGTTATATTCCTAATAACTGGGTTCAAGTACGTGTTGTGATATGGAATAAAAACTTGATTGACATATAATGTAAAATACATATAGCAATGCAATTTATTTGTACAGCATTTGTTATATTTTTCTTCTATTAGAATTGTGAAAATTGAGTAATTGATGCATGTCATGGGGGAAAATGAACCAAATAGTTTTGATTTTAATTGTATTATTAATTTTATTTTAACCTGAATTATGTGTATTGCATCATGTAAGAGCTATCCACATGATTCTTTTCGATAATTTTTTATGTAAATTTGTAAAAAAAAAAAAGTATTTTATTTTATATCCAGGGATTTTTTTCTGGTGTTCTGTAACACAATTAAAAATTATATTCCTTAGTTGCATGATTTGTGTAAATCTTAAATAGAAATTTCTAAAGGAAGTCAGTGAAGTATTTCATAGTGAACTTTAAATGCAAAAAATATGAAATCATTTAATGCAATTATCCTGTGAAGAATTTCAAAAAATGAGATATGTCTCCTGTATAACATTATTTTATCATTCCTATGTCTTAATCTAGATAAATGTCTGACTGTGTTAAATGTCTTGATTACAAAGCTACCTACCGAAAGAAAATTCCATAATGCAACATTTTCTTTTTATTATTTTACTTCTGCATGGCTGTAATAAAAATAGAATGAATATGTGGCTCTGTAAATGCAGCATGTCTTCTAACTTTTTGTATAACATTAATTTGCATCATAAAGATGTTTCATATCATCAAATGTACACTTCCTTTTTTATTTTTTCGCCCTCATTCTTCCATAAAATCTCCAGTTTCAGTTATTTTTTTTTTATATATGTATAAATGCATTTAAGACTGTGTTGTACAATATAAATTATTGATTTTTTTAGTATGGAGCACCTTTTTCATTTTAAAAATAAATCATTCAGAATTATAGGTGACATATTAATTTAGCTAGAATAAATTAATTATGAGTTTTTTAGTATCAAATATATGTTTAAAGAAAAAGAGTAATTGCTTTTTCTGCTAATAAATATTATAAATTTTGTTATTCATCTAACTTGGTAGGAAGCATATAGTACTGAGCATTTTGTCCATATTTAGACTCCCTTTTTATTATTATTATTATTATTATTATTATTATTAGTATTTAGATATTCTGATGCTGAGAAAAAAACTTTGACATTCAAAACAAAGAATTATTTTCATTACATTTTGTACTATAACAATGAGCTTCAGATTTTAATTATTGATGATAAGTTTACATAATTATAAAATAATTACACTTATAATCTTGAAAATAAAAAATTTCAAATTTATTGCATGAAATATATTTTATTTAACAAATTCTCAACTAGTAGTAGTCTCTGGTTAAGAACTATCTAGTTGTTAAATAAATTTATTTCTAAAAAAGCTGTTGAGTGGTATATGCATAGGCCTAAATTATAGCAATCAACTAGCTCAGTCATGTTGTATAATCTTGAATGGTACTAATCAGTGTGTAATTCGAAAGCTTTTATAATAGTTTTTTCATTTAAGTAATATCTTTTGACAATATGAACCATGTGTCTTGTAATTAATAGAGTTTCAGAATTGCCACTCATCTCAGGAGATATTTATGGGTGGGGTGGAAGAGAGATAGAGAAACAATTAATTGAAAGTTTGTTCCACCCCTTTTAACAGTCAAAAGAATCAAACAGAGATTGTCTCATCAAATGCAGTTAATGTAGAAATCTCTGCATGTGCTCTCTCTGGCTGATAAAATTAGTATAAAGTTCTCTAGAATCCTGTACCTAATCACACTGGCACCACTATTTCAATAAACAGCTATTTATAAGTTTTCATAACAGCATTTTATGTGGTATGCTGGAAATAGTAAATAGCCTAAACATATGCTTTTTATTTTAGTACATATTTACTGCATGAGGATAAGCTTAGAAACTGGTTTTTAAATGAGTAAAAATGTCCGTAAGTCTGCTGTTAACTATTAAAGGTTAAAATAGTTTTAAAATTTCTGATTGCAAATAAAAAAATGTTATAGATATATAGAATACGTGAAAATGGTATATGGAGATGAAAATAACCCAATCATGAAATTATATTTTGAGAATATTGATCTTATTTCATCTCACTTAAACGTTTTCAAGTACGAGGCACGTTTTTAAAGTAAGTGTCGTTTTCAAATTTCAATGCAGCAGCATTGCACTCAGCATTCTGCATGGGCATGTTGTTTACCTATATTTGTTGGCGATTCACAGACGCCATTATGGAAACTTTCAGCTGTTGTAACATTTGTTGGATGGTGGGCTATCTTCTGTCATTACTGAAGATTTGGTCTAGAAAGTTGACGAACAAATGAAACAGAGCAGACCCATGATCATTTCGTCATTGTTTGATGTGTTTCCTTGGTTTCATGCACCATTGCATATAAAATTATAAGTGCATGCTTAAATTATCGAGAATTGTGCTCACACTGGGTACCAAAATTCTTGACAGGGGTTTAGGTAATACTTTAACTACAGTACAGTGAGGAAGGTTGTGATATTTTAAACCAAATTATCACACGTGACAAAACCTGGGTGGCTTACGCTGCACCAGAATTGAAGCAGCAATTGATGGAATGGCGACATGCATCATCACCCATGTGTATTGTGTTTTAGGATGGGAAGGGAGTGTTGCTTATGGATTTTTTCATCTCATGGTGACACAATAAATTCTATGACATATTGTAAGACCTTAATCAAACTGTGTCGTACAATTGAAAACAAAAGGCATGGCATGTTGAGTAGGAAGCCTTGTTTTGCTTCATGACAACGCCCGTCCACGTGCAGCTAAACGAACTCAAGATCTCATCATCCCATTTCGTTGCGAACAATTTGATCATCCTCTGTTCAATCCTGATCTAACACCCAGTGCCTGCCACTTGTTCCTGCATTTGAAGAAGCAACTGAGCCTTCTTCTCGAAAATGAACGATAATGAGATCAAAACAACTGTGTTGCAGTGAACATCATAGCACTTCACAGACTTCTATGAAGGGGGATTCAGAAACTGGTTTTTTGATACGCTATGTGCCTTAATAGTGGCAGAAAAAATGTAGAAAAAGTAGATTGAGGTATGGGTTTTTATATAAAAATAAAATTGGTGAGAAAATTGTAGATGTTCTTTTATTATTTCCAGACAGTACCTACTTTAAAACATGTCTTGTTATTACAGTTACTGTGCATTTCAGGAATAATAACACATTTATCACAATTTTGATGAAATACGATCCATTCATGTTTTATTTTTCAATTATTGTCAGAAGCTTGTTTTGTTGAGTCATAACTTCATTAAACTCCATATACTGATCTATAGTATTAGGTAATCATAGCAGGAATTCATAAGCCTGTCACTATTTTCTGAAGTTCTTAGTATCAGAATTCAAATTTTTATATTTAAACACTGAAAACAGTTTTGATAAATACACAATTAAAAAAAAAATTTCCTTGTTAAATTTTCAATTACAGTTGCAGAAGAAATTCTGCTAATGTTGATTGTCTGGTGTTATTTTATGATAATGCAGTCAGTACAAAATAAATGAAAGTTTTGAAAAAATGTTAAAATAGCATACTGATTGATTGTTTTGTAATACAGCAAATTGTAAATGAGTTGCTTTAAAAGAAATGAAATTTTTTTCCCTTATTTTAGTACTGTATCATATATCATCTGCATTTGTTAAATTGACTCCTCTCTGTGTAAAATTTTGCATAACAAGAACAATTGTAGTTTATGAGTAATAATTTTCAGTGATACATTAAAATTAATTTTCACTCCTTCCCTCCTCCACACACACACATTCGCATACAAAAATAGTTTTAAAAAAATATTCTATTTTAAGAAGAAAAGTAGTCATATTTATTTATTTATATCTTCATATGTTACAGTGTATTCCTTTCTCAAAAGGAAATATTTGTTTTATACAGATTAAATGTTACTACTGACAAAAGGGAAAAAATTTTCATTCAAATTCTTCTGAAATTTTGATTTTTTTTCCTTCTAATAATTCTTTTAACTATTACATTTATTAATTTTTTTTTAATAATGTTATTTTTTTCAGAATTATTTTTAAACTGAACCTTGTGTAACTTTTTTTGTACATTTATCAAGCTGCAGGATTTTTGAAAAAAGAAACGTATGAATTTCAGATAGAAAGTTAAAAGCAGGAATTATTTATTACGTATTTAATCATTTTTAGTAATTACTAAATTTGTTATTAATATAATTACATAATTACTAAATTTAGCAAACACTAAATGGTTGATTTTTGATATTTATTTGTTGATTAGAATGTTTAAACTCCTTTTGCACCACATAGTTAGTTATTACTTAAGAGGTCTGGTAAAAAAAAACACAATAGTACAGTACGAAATAAAAAAGTTACAAATTCACAGATGAAACATGATGTACCAAAAAGAAGAGAATTCTATTTTATCTTGACCAAACACATGGAGAGGGGGAAGACTTAAATTTAAAGAATTTAACTGGGATGAGTTCATTTCTTTCCTGCCATAAATTTTGCACAGTAAACAACAAATGTTTCATAATCCACATCTCTTCAGATATGAATTGAAATTACTGTGCCTGGTTAGAAATTTAGGTATTTCAAAATTGGAAAAAGAATATTTATTATTAGGTCTGTGAGTGATAGAAGGGGAAAATAATTTCATCAGAAAGGCAGTAAAAGAATTTCTGTGTAATTCATTGCACTTGGCAATTACTTTACTTCAACTTTGTTTTTTAAAAACTGACTGAGACAGTGTCGTTGTGGTGTTAACTTGAAGATTAGTAGCTTGTTTTGCCAGTCTGCCAGTATGGGCAAAGTACACGAGTGAGGATGACATCAATACGTTTAAGATCTTCAAAACTCGCATGAGAGGAAATAATTTATTAACGAAGATATTCGTAAAAGAATGTAAGGATGAAAAAAAAATCAGTGCGAATAAGAAAGTTACAATATAGCAAACGATAGATAGATATCCACTCCATTGATTCAGTAATGCATAGTAATTTGGCTTGGAAAACACCGCATTCATTGGGAAATCTAAAGAGTTTGTTTTCCAGTTCAGAATTATGATGGAAAACAACATAAGCTAGTCCAACTGAATTATTAATTTTCCTGCCATCTGTATATAACACAAAGCTGGGAAATTTATTTTCAATGGAATTGTCGTATTTTATAGTTTGAATTGGCAAACGATCAGTAAGTTGAGGAAGATCCTCAGACAACATTGTGTTGAATTATAAGTTTGCTGATGTAGTCTTTAAATTCTTTAGCATGCAAAACATGACGATCAATCAAGGGGTAACTCTGAAGTTAGAAAACAATCTTCATAACTAATAGTTTTCTGCCAATGCAAAACTTTTAGTAAAATCTAGAAGCATAGCAAACAAAAAAGACTATATCCTGCTTATAAATCATACCAATAACATTAAATATTAAACCCAAGGTATTTTAAAAGACAATTAAATCCTCTAAATATGTTTTCATATTTTTTACATAAATACATATGACTTTCCAGCAAAACTTATCATCAAGAATAATGGCTTAATATTTAATCTCATTCGCTGTTTCTATGAAAGTACAACTACTCGATTGTATAGCTGACATGCTTTCTTTTTATTATAATTTTAGATTTATTAGGATTAAGCTCAGACTTCTCTAGACCAATCTGAAATCCTATTAAGGATGTTCTGAGCTGTATTAAAAAGAATATTGGAACACTTTCCTTGAAAATATATCAGCAAAAGAAATTGTTTTATGTACCACTGACAATTTAAGAGTCATGTGAGATCATTCATAATTAAATTCCATAGTAAGGTTCAGAAATAGAGCCTCAAGGGCAATCGCATTCCAAAGTCCAGGAAGCAGAAACAAGGCTAAGGCAGAGCAATGTAGAAAATCTTGAATAAGGAGAAAAATAGTGCATGGAATGCCAGCTCTTCTTGAGAAGGGCAAGAAACCCGAGCCAAAGCATGGTCAAAATCACCTTTAGTATCAAGGAACATTAGAATTATGTATAAATTCCTCTTATCTTCATCAAATGTCTTTCAGGTGAAGGAAAGCATCATCACAGCTCTCATGAGGCATAAAATCAAACTGTGTTTGCTTAACGGTTTTTTATTATGTAGGAATCAGGTAATTTTATTAACAAACAGTTCTTTCAAGAAGGAGAACACTAATGCATCTCTAATTATCCAAATGAGGGAAGCGAAGACCGCTCTCCTTAGGGACTAAAATGACATTTGCTTCCTTCCAGCAAGGAGGAAATGAACCAAGCTTCAGACAAGTATTGGAGGTTTTTTACGAAACAAATTTAGAGCCATTCTGTGAATTTGTCTAAAATTTCATTCGAAATTTCATTTTCAAGATGAGGAGCTTTATTTTCATAGGATTTGAGGTTTATAAAATCATTCTTTTCTGAACTACTTATGCGCTGCTCGTTTCAAAATACAAAATATCTGGCAAAGGCACTGAAACAGAAGATTCAAAAATAATTGCGATTAAAAATTACCCCTGCCAAATACGACAAAGGAACTCTTCCTTCTTATATGTTCTTACTATAGGACGTTGATTAAAGACTTCAGACTGCCGAACTATTGTTACAGTTAAAAAGAAAGAAAACCACTTTTAACTGGACAGATGAGCCCAATACAGTGCTTGTGTGTGATTATGGCAAAGCCTCGAGGGCTATCTGCCTAAGGGGCGGGATGCCATCATGGAGGACTTTCTAAGGAAAACTGGCTCGTATACACGTTACACATGGAATTTATGGGAAAAATCTCGAAAAAGCCCATGCAGCCAGCCCGTTCGCGGAATTCGAACCTCGGACCTAACTACCAGTGTTTATTGCTCGGCCGCTGGTGAGCCAATACAGTGCTTGAAAAATTAAAAGGGCACTAATCGAAGCTCCGTGCTAAAATTTGCCAGGGTAAAAAACAACACAATGGCTGATGCGATATCAAGAATAAAGTTAGATGATAAAGGCAACAGACTATAAAATTCGCTATGCTGACATCAAAAATACCCGACTCACGAGAGAGAATTATAGGGATAGTGAATTTAAAAACATTTATTTTTACCTAAAGATCAGTATCATTTTGAACAGCCAGACACTACGGAAATACGATATAGAGCCGAAAATTACAAATTGATAAACGGTCTCTTATTTTATTCATTGACATTACGAAGTCATTGACAATCTCTTGTTTTGTTCTTTTATTCAGTCTCTTATTTTGTTATGATTATTTATTAAGTCTACAATTCAAAATTATGAACTTTCATTGGTCATGCCAGCGACGTTAAGGTTAAACATTTTAGTTAAATTACATGATTCGCCCATGTCTGACCACTTGAGAATCAGGAAAACAGTACAGACAAAGTAGACAGAAGTCTTGTTTTGCACCCGCTAAGTCTTTCTGCACCGATGGGAGAAAAATCAAGCATATGTGCGAAGGAAGGGGCAATTTCGTATTTGAGGAGAGTAAAAAAGGAACTTCGTACATTTTGTACGAGTTCAAAAGGCCAGGAGGAAAAGATGGGACAAAATAAAACTTTAAAATAAATGGCTCAAAAATAATAGAGGGGAAAAAAAGGGCCTATAGAAGGAGAAGAAGTAGAAAATATCCTAAAATACGATTGTGTCCATGAATGTAGTTAAAAGGAGAAGAATCTGTCTTCATTTACAATAAATAGTGTCTCACAGGTGTGTGTGTTTGGTAATGGTGAATAGATATGTTACTGGGAAAAAAATATATTGACGGTGTTAAAATGCTTCGTATCAAGGTATTTAGTATGGAATACAAAAGTAATATGTATGCTTGCATCCTGAGATATCAACAAAGTATATATTAATTTAACTAAAGTAACTTATGCTATTTTCGTTCCCAACATTTTCATACATTTTTCAAAAAACAGCAGCAGACAAACAACATAGAACCATATACAATACAAGACCACAACCGCACACACACACACACAAAAAAAAAGGATAGTGTGTGTGTGTAAATTACTGAGTATATGTATTAAAAACACAAATTAAACATAGTATTTATTAATTTAACTTTCATAATTTATTACAAGATTAATTATTTTACTCTCATAATTTATTACTAGTTAATTAATGCTAGTATAACATAATGAGGCACACTGTTATTTATATAAGCTTATAGTTCTAAGAATTTATTTAAGGCAGTGAAGAATAAACCATCCCTTACATATGGACATTTAACAGATAGCAAGGAACAGTATGAGAAAAAATCGGTGAGGTATAATATTATTTAAAGGCGAAAATATATTTAAGCGATCTAAAAAAAAAAAAAAAAAGAATCCAGAAGATCCGAGAGGGAAATGGCGCGATGCCCCGAATCCCCAATTTTCCCTCTCACGAGATTCCTCAAAACAAGATAAGGGGGGCTTTGTAAGTGGTGACAGACGTGAACTGATAACGTTGGCGTCTCTTTGGAATTGATTCACAAAGGAAGCAATGAGCGATTTAAGTATTTTTTAATACTAAAAACTGATGAAAAGTTAAAATTTATTGATTTAAAGGCACTTATTTATAGAAATTTGATTTAGTTTAGATGAAAGAAAAGTACTTATCTTAAAATTCCAGGCTTTCGTAGTATATCCTCACCTTATCCGC